CCGCGCCACGTGTGGGCGTCTATAGAGACGGAATCATAGTGTGTGTACACCACACTTCATCTGTGTGCTGGTACGTACTGACCGTGACAAAAGTGTAGTTTCAATACAATTGATTTGCGTCTGGTCTAGCGAAGCTGCCTTGGTCTATGTACACGATTTTGAGAGCTGATAGCACACAGCCAGATATCAACATTAGAGTTGCCGTGGATTGCTGAAGTACAGTACAGTACTGCACCCCGCTTTCGCGGGGGTGGACCATTTAGGATTTGCATATAAATCAGATTTTAGATACATATTGTAGTTCATTGGGATTTAGAATCATCACATCCGGACGTTTATCAAAGGTCCAAGGTCGCGAAAACGGGGTGCAGTACTGTAGTACACTTTGATCATTTCTTTGAAAATCGTTTTCATTCCTTTCGTGGCAAACCAAAGCGAAGCAGGGAGCTGTGTTTTCCACTCCAGGTTTAGTACCGGTATACCACAGACTTACCGGTATGTACTCTATCCCCGCTTGCTGCTGGCCACACATAGCGCATTCCCTCACTTCGTACTTGGAAGAACAAGCAGGAAGCAGCCAAGAAATAAGGGGAAATCTCTACTCGACATCGCAATGACAGCTCAAGAAGCCTCCGAAGCACCCAGCGCCCTCAATTCACCGGCGTCCAGGGCAGGTAATGCCCCCTTGGGCCGCGTAGCTCCAAGGTTTGCCGCGCGAGCGAGAGATTTCTTCGGAAGGCCTCCGTTTCGCTAATGAAATCCTCTCCTCACCTGCCGATGTACTAGGTTCCCCGCCTTCCAGGTTCACCCGAACCTGCGCTAGTGGACCGAGACAAATTGCGTTTTCGGCTTCACAGACTTTTTTTACTTTACAGTCCGGGTCGACCATGCAGTCACCCACGGCTATGCAGCCTCCCTTGGCTATACAGTCCGGGTCGACTATACAGTCATCTACGGGTATACGGCCTGCTTTGGCTATACAGCTCATGTCGTCTATACAGTCATCCAAGTATACACGCTCACCAGTGGGCAGCCCATCCAGGTCAGACGATCTTAATATTAGCGAGCTTATACGACGGAACGACCGACGCGATAATACGAAGTCTACTACGGTCAGAATCCCAATAAATACTGATGTAAATGCATGCATGCCTTCGAGTTCGGGTAAGAGTCAAGCAAATCCAGCCAAGCTACACTCGGCTAACAGAGATGGCACAGGGAACATACTTTGGATTGAAAGAACCCCACGTCACCCTGTAGTCTCAAGTCAAATCGTGGGCCAAATGCATGAGAATGCACGCCGGCGACGGGACTTGAACCGAGAAGTTTAATCGGCTACGCACGGGAAGATCATGGCCAGCTTCGGCGTAAAGCTACTTCCCCACAACGCAAGAAGGCGCCGATGGACCTGTTTACCTGCTTAATTAGTCATTGCAACGCTCTCTGTCGGACCTCGCACGCCGTTCAGCTTTACCGCTACCACGTTCGTGGAGCTGGTTCGAGGACAAAGGGAGCGGGACTGTCACCCGATCAAGAATCTGGTCCCAACAGTTCTTGGCGAGCTATGGTTGAATATGACTATGTATCCGACCTAACTTGAATTTTGTATGGAATAAATAGGCCAATCATCATTTATGCGCAAATAATCGTCCAGTTACAACCCGGTAATTTGTATTTTTGACCAATAAGACAGTACGAGGTTAGGTGAGTCATGTAAGCCAGCCATTCCGACGTATCGGGTCGGAGCAATATAAAAAATATGTGTATCGCAACATATTAGGCAAGTCAACATCATATCACTTGCATATTTTGCATTTATCCGACAAGAGCGCAAAATGGGCTTAGCGGAACTAGAGTGTGGAAACACAAAAAGAGCCAAGGCAACAGCAGTGGCAACTTTTAAGAAGTTTCTAAAAACGGAGAATGTAAGTGATGAGTATGTGCGAACTTGCATTGAACGTGATGAGACTGGAAAGTGTTTCGTATCAGTGATGGATAAGTTTGGTATGTATCTTGCATTTAATGAGGGCAAAAAAGGCAAGCCGTTGGCTAGAAACACTTCGATGCAATACTACCGGCAGGCTAAAGTATGGCTACTCGAACAGTTCCCTCGGCACAGACCCGCACTTGAGGCTCGGTTGCTTAAAATGGGTAAAACACTGGACAACTTTTGTATGAAGCGAGATGGTGGTGGCTTCATCACCAAAGCCCCACCGTGCTCAAAGGGTGATTTAAAAAGAATGCTTATGTATTTGTATGTTAACGCTAGCTGTCCAAGTGACTACCAAGACGCTGCCTTACTATGCCTGCTGTGGTATCTGTTCGGCCGAGCGTCCGACCTTGCGCATCTTCGGAAGCAGAACTTGTCCATCGACGCGGGAAAGGTACTCTTCGTTCGCTTCATCCGTATGAAGACATCCGAAGAGCAGGGCCTGTCGATCTTCCCTGACGCGGACTTTGCCACGTGCCCCCTCCTCGCTGTCGCGCTGGCGCTTCTTACCCAGGTAGCCCCCTCGGCAAACGTTATAGACAACCTGCCCGAGCAGCCAAGTCAATCCGGCATCGAGCTGGCCCCTGACGTGCCGTTGTTGGAGATGCTTGCCCATCCGACGACGACGCAAGGCCTGACGGCTCCGACTTCTGGCTTGCACACGATCCCGACCATCTTTGCTCATGTGAACCGCGTACTGGACCGCATCGCCAAGCCGGCAGGTGTCGAGGTTGCGCTGACGTCCCACTCGTTTCGTCGCGGCGGCGCTCAGCATGCAAACGCTTGTGGCCAGCTCACGGCTCGCTGGATCTTCGACCGCGGCGCCTGGAACATGACAACAACAAATAAAGGATTCAACTACATCTTCAACATCAGCGCAGAGGACCACAAGATTAGCAAGATACTTAGGTGCCACGACGCTGAAGCACCGGTGTTTCTCCAAAAGCTCAAGTCCTTCGACGCACAGGCGCGTACCAATGTCGAAGCTGCTCAGCGTATCATCTTCGCTACCTGCCAAGACCTTGGGACAACAAGCCACAACGTCAACCAGTCCGTTCTTGATGTTCTTACCGCGTGTGTGCTTTGCCACTACCCCTTGCTGAAAGAGCTGAGCCCTGAAGCCCCAGCCGTCAAGCGCATCGAAGCATGCGTCCTTCACAGTGGCTGCTCCATCGCAGAATTGCTCGGATGGTCGTCGCACTTGGTATCATCACCCTGCAACAAATCAAGCAGCGATACCAAAGCACAACCAACCTCGCAAGACGGCAAGCCAACCGAAGACACCAGCGACCAGGAAACAATTCGACACCAAGCCGCTGTACTTAACCATTTAATCGAGCACACTCAACGCCAAGATCAGCGCATGGACGCTCTCGAGGCCAAGCTGAACAGCGATCCTATGAAGCCTACACACAAGCGCCACCACATACACACTGCAGAAGAAGCTGTCAGTGAACCCAAGAAGAAGCAACGCAGATCTTCAGTCACTCACCTTCATGCTACGTGGTTTGCTTGGTACGCGCAAGAGCCGAGGATGTGGTAAGCACCCATCTCAAAGCAGCAGAAGTCGGACGCCAAGCTGCTTGTGGCCTTCATGAAACTCTTCTTGGACGACGGCTTTGACCTTGACACGGCAGCGCATAACTACCGCGATCAGGTTCTCGACTTGGGCAAACGGGCGGAGGAAGCAGTCCTTGCATTTTTAGCCGAGCGAAAGATCACATCGCGCGGGTCAGCCGCCGTCCTCAAGCACCTCCGCACTCTCCATCGCGCGGGAGTCCTGAACAGCAAGATTAAGCGCCACCAGCGCCTGCTCCAGACCGCAGCAATAAGGGATCCCGCTCCTGGATACACACAGGACGTGCTCGAGGTAGTTAACAATCCAAGCAAACAACAATAAAACAAAACACAGAATGACAGCGGTTGGAGTCGAACCAACATTCTCAGGGCAAGACCCTGCGCTCTATCCATTGAGCTACACTGTCGTATTGGGAGGTTGGAGGGGGGGGGCTGACGTGGCGCCGTGTGCGCTGCATGCAGCAGTGCAATTTGAGAGGTCTGCGTAGTAGCGTCGAAAAAAAAGCGAGTGAGGCCTCGACCTTATTGTCGGGTACGACGTGTGGCTGTGTATCGCCGACTGATAGAGATTCTGGCCTGCCAAACGGCAGAATTTCATTGGAAAATGGTTGCCCAATGAAATGCGTTCAGTAGTGACTGGCTGTCGATGTCCAACAAGTATCCGGACAGTCAATTTATCCGGATGATTGCCAAGTTCAGTTTCATTTTATTATTTGCCTGCTAGAGAGCACATGACTCTCTAGTGTAATTTGCTCGTTTTCAGCTTTTTTCGATTTTCTCAGCCCACAGGCCGTTTTAGGCGATTCTGAGCCGCCTATAAACTAGACACAACAGGCTCTCTACAGATTCAGTACAGAACGACAAATCTTGCCTATCTTCCTCCAAACATAATGATTACACAAAATTACTTTACTTGTCAAATAAAGTCCGCTGGCCTTTTTCCACTTCATGTACCACAATTGTGGTACCTGTCCGATAGGGTCGGAGGTCGGATAAATTCAGGTATGGAGAGATAGCAAGCACTGGGCGCAGGTGCAGAAGATTACCCGAGA